AAAGGGAAAGGGATCGCGAACCCTTAAAATACATGAAGCTCAGGGGCTTGTGAGAGAGACGATAGTAATCACGGAATATATTTTTTATATTCCGTGGTAGTAATCGTACGATCAGCTAGAGAAAAACAATGCCTGTACAACAATATTCCCCATGCACTGATGGCAATCTCACGCCATACGAGCCATTGCATCTGTACTACACTGATTGATGTGATGTGAGGAAGATGCAGATTCAGGAAAATCTTCAGAATCAGGGATTACAACATCAAAATGGCAATACAAAATCGAGACTTAATGGTTGCTTAAGTTATGAACGTGGTCCAAGACGAAGTGGTTTAATGACACTTAAGCGGACGTTATAGTCACTTATTCACAACAATGTATTGTGTATGTGTATGTCTTTAAAAATAAGGATATACTGTGAGTTATAGTTATAAATACCCCCAAAACCCCACACAATTGAAGAAACAAAAAAAAAATTAGGGGTCCCCCCCTAATAATAAGTATAAATATTAAGTTTTTAAATACACTATGTATATAAAAACTTAGTCTTACTTACTCACAAAGCAAAACAAATACGACAAGAGAGGACAAAAAAGAAGGAGGCCTATATGATAAATGATTTAAATTAAAAAAGGAAAGGATACAAAGTTCCTAACCTAAACTTAAAAAAGATTGTTATTAAAAAAGACGCTGCTGTCTATCTCCTGGTTTGTTCCCCTTGTCGTAGTGAAAACCGAACAGTAGGTTATCTTCTAAGAAAATTACCGAACGCCGCTAATATGTGTGTGCGCCTGGCACGTGACAGTACGGACTCGTATGCACGAGCCACAGCACGCACGCAACGACACTTGCTAAGTCGAGAAGATCGGGCCGAGTCGGGAACGCCCACCGCCGCGCTCTATGACCACCACCTTTGTTTGAGACTTTGTTGACTTTTACTAAAATTTTGATAGTAGTCTTTTTATCGTTTTATTTTATGTTTTTGTAAAATAAATTAATATATGCGGCTTTTCAAGAAAATTAGCTTTTTATTTATAGGTTACATTACTATATCTATATATAGATACATACCTCATAAGTACATTAATTATCATATCACATGAGATCAAATTAATTTTAAACATTATATCTGACCTGATACCATATGCTGTGTTAATTTACTCGTATTGTAAATTAAGCCATGATTTTATTTGGCATTTGTTATGTTAATGTGGATTTTTTTGACGAACATTTATTATTTGAGAGGAAACTAAAGAAATGATTAAAAATATGATGCATAGGTACGTGTCCGTATGCATTATGTTTGTAAATATTATAACTACTTATAAAACTAAATGAGACTTAGCTGTTAAACAAAAAGACAGTGACAACCCTGCAACAGTAGACATTAAGTCTCGCTTGGTGCGGAAGTTATCCTACTATTTCATTTTTACTATGGCCGTGTCGTCTCTTAATACTCCCACGAGACATCACATTGGCTTGTTAATGGGTAAAAAATCTACTTAGCACGGTGTCGCGTTAGTTAAACCCCAGACAGTGGTGCAATATTCCGAAATAGTGAGGAATGAAAATGATTAAATACATAATACAAGTTTTTACGAATTTTATCGCGTATATTAACTTTTTACATTAACCTGAAAAAAAATTAATATACGCAATAAAATCCGTAAAAACTTGTATAATTTAAATGTGTAGTGTTCGCGTAAATATAAGAAATCATTATGATTAAATACCTAAATAAACAAAACATTGACTGCGAAATTTTCTGGAACTACCGAATGAAATTTCTAAAATCTGAACATTGAATAAAAGCACTTTTGGGCAAGAACGCGAAAAGATGTACATTGGACTTTTCTACATGTCCCCAGGTTATATCGTACTGCTGTGCGACTTTGATAAGTTTTACAAGAATCATTACCATATTAGTTGATTTTAGATGAAATAGGCATGTCATATTTATTAAAATTTTACGCATGAAATTATACTGAATTGTAAAAATTTAAGTTTAAAAAATCGTGATTTTGTTGTATAGTACTGTCCCTTAAAAAAAACCGGCATTTTTAACAGCGTTTTGTGAAAAAAAAAGTTATTTCACTGGCAAACCTTTAGTTACATATTTGAAATTTGGCGGAATTTTAATTATTTTTTAAGTTAATTGTGCTGCCAAAGCTAGAATTTCTACTAAATAAGTAATTTTTAAATTTGTCCCCGGCATATGAACCTACCGGACATGTCCAGGTACCGTTACCGCATTTTCGTTTAAATTTATAGTTTTTTTGTTCAATGTGGTATTTATTTTTTTATTTAAACGGCAACATCATAATGAGACCGAAAAAAAGAAAAAAAAAGATGTCTATGGTTAAATCAGCCATTTTATTCAAACAGCTGTTTCATTTTCGGCGTTTTTGAGAGGTTGTGTTTTTACGGGCACTGTCCGGTGAGTAAATTAATTTGTTTTTTGGTGTTATAACGTGTTTCCAACGCATATTTTATGTCTAAAACTTACATGAACTATTTAAGATTACTATAATGTGAAAAAATGTGTGATAAATATCAGCAATTGTAGAAATTTTATAGTTTTGTATAAGAAGTACTCGATTCCGTTACCTCATGTCCGTTACCATCGCGGTGGTAACGTATAGGCCGGACTTGAAAGTCACGAACAGGATCACGTAAAGCAAGGTTTACATGGTGTAAACTTGATTTTTTTCTATTATTTTATTTATTGTTTTTAGGTACCTCTGAACTCCTTCATTTATATAGTTATTTCGAAAATCATTTTTTATTTAAGATTTATTATATTCTGGATTGGTCAAATAGAATTTCATCAAAATCGGTCTACTATTTTTGTTTTGGAGTCAAAATAGCTAGAAAAAGTGTGCTATTCCAGATACTAATTTTTGTTTTATTGTAGTTCTATAGAGAAAGTTACTGAATTTTTTGTTAGGCTTGTTTGTTGTTGGCTCATTTTTCCTGAAAAAAAAAATAATAATACATGTATGTAAGAAATATAATTTAGGTATCAATTCAACAGGTAAATAATTGTACTTAATGGAATTTCAGATTTCAATATGGTGCTCACTGCAGCTGAAAAAAATGCGCCGTTATCGCCAAAAAATTAAAGATAATCCCCAAAAATATGAACAACAGAAGAAAAAAGACCTACAACGCATAAAAACTAAAAGAAAGAAAATATCACAACTCGATGATGCCGATAAAGATAAAATAAGAAAACAATGGCGAGATCAAAAAAAGAGGCAAAGAAAAAATAAAAAAATAAACAAAAGTAATGAGAACCAAGATAAAGACAACGAAAACATTGATAGGGATGGAGTATCATTCAGGGAAAATTCGCTCAGCAGAAAAAGTCGAGAGTCAGATTCGAGTTTAAAGTCAAAATTGAAATACATGAAAAAAAAGTGTTACATATTATTAAAAAAAAATTGAACAATCTCAAAAAAACGAACAATCACTGCAAAGAATAAAAGAGAGGTTGAAAAAAAGATTGTATAGACAAAAAAAATGCCAGTGAAACTATAATTAAAAACCTGAAACTCACTATCGATAATATGAAAGCGCGCGAAGAAATTTTAGAAGCTGCTTTAAAAAAGACGTATAAGAATTGCAAGAAACAAGCAGAAAAGAGAGTACTGAAAGGGATAGTAGAAAACGCTGAAGTAAAAACTTTCGTAGCTAAATTAATGGGTTTATCAGGAAGAACCAAGTACAAGAAGAAAACAACATCTAAAGGCAGAATAACTGAAATTGAAAATTTTTTCATCAGAGACGATGTTAGCCGTTGCACCGCTGGCAAGAAGGAATGTCGATCCAAAAACAAAGAAAAGCGTCAAATCCGGTATTTGTTGGACACATTGAATAACTTATACGTTAAATATAGGAGTGAAGGTGGGAGGTACAAATTAACAACTTTCCGTAAATACAAACCATTTTTTGTATTGGCTCCTCATCTTGCATCACGTGACACTTGCCTCTGCGTTAAACACGATAATATCCAACTGAAATTTAAAGCTTTGAGAAAGAGTGGCTTAACTGAACACCGACACATAAAAGATGTACTCCAAGAACTATCCTGTGACCTAAAATCTCCCTTGTGCATGCATGGAAAATGCAGAACATGCAAAAATAAGCCTCTTAACTTTGAACCCGGTATGTATTTAGACGAAATGGTTACTTGGACTCAGTGGGAGCGAAAACGACATGAATATTTGAAAAAGGACGGGACTGAAAAGAAGACTTGTGTTTGCATAAAAACAGAAAAAGTCAAAATCACAAGCACATTGCGTGAACTATTACGCATATTTAAGGCGGACTTAAAATTATTCAAAAAACACCATTACAATGTACACCACCAACAAGAAAAATATCAGGAGGGCGTTACGTATTTGAAAGAAAATGAAGCTTTAGTCATTTGTGACTTTTCTCAGAACTACGAATCAAAACTAAGCTCAGAGATTCAGAGTTTGCACTTTGGTGGGTCTAAATGTCAGATTTCGCTACATACCGGCATGATCTACTTCAAAGACACATCCCAATCATTTTGCACTGTGTCGCCAAGCACCGTTCACCAACCACAAGCAATATGGGCCCATTTAAAACCTGTGCTTGAGTACATTAAAGAACATCAGCCTCAAGTTACTGTTATTCACTTCTATTCCGATGGCCCTACTTCACAGTATCGCCAAAAAAACAATTTCTATCTGCTCAGCGTTTTTAGGCAAAAACTGAATTTGGACCATTGTACGTGGTCATTTTTTGAAAGTGGGCACGGTAAGGGCGTGGCGGATGGTATAGGAGGCACAGTGAAAAGAGTTTTAGACAGGAATGTTTGTTTCGGAAGAGATATTTCAAATGATTCGGACGCTTTTGAAGTTTTAAAGGACTCTCTGTGCACAATTAAGATTTGGTATATCTCTGAGAAAGATATTGACGAAATTGCTGCTCTTTTGCCTCAAAAGCTATCAATTGTAGTTGGAACAATGCAATTACATCAGATTGCAACACAACAACCTGGAACTATTACTTACAGAGACTTGGGATGTTTTTGTGGGTCACAAAGGGGTTTATGTTCATGTTACGAACCAAAAATCCACAAATTCGAATGTCCTACGACAGAAAATAGAGGCATTGAAGCAGCTGATACATTAGATGATATTGAACCATCAGATTTAATGAATGTGAATGTTGAGATAAACCTTGAGGAACTGTCAGCGATGAATGATGTAAACTTTTCATCAATTGGTGATCTCACAAAGCCAAACCAAACTAACTCAGCGCTTGAAAATGTGGACGAGGACTTTTCTTTCATTGGAGATTCTTCGAAACCAAATACTATCAAAGCCAACTCATCGATGGACGAGGTAAATAGTTGTTCAAACGGAAACACTGGTAAGCCCAATATTAGCCAAGGCGATTCAGCGATGGATGACGTGGACTTCCTTTCTGTCGGAAAGGTCAAAACGCAAAACAATGGTGACATTGTTATTGAAGTCGTGGACAACACAAAGACTGCAAAAGATAAGATGAGCGTTAAAGAGTCAACAGTGATGGATTATCTGAACATTTCATACACAAATTCTACAGCTGATAATAAGCCGAATGTTTTCAAAACTGACTTGGTAAATGACATTCAAATGTTGGACCAAAATACCACCAATGATGAGATTATTGTAGAGGAAACAACTGTAATGGAACGTCCACATATTTCCCCTACACATCCCGCGGATTACACACAGACAAATGCAGTTAGCCAGGCGATTCATTATTTAAAGAGAATTTAAGTACTATGAGGAAGATCCCATGTATTGTCGACCTAACCATTCATCCTTTGGAGATGAAACTTACTTATAAGCCTAAAAAAAGGTCTAGCAGCAGCGTGTTATGTGTTTCGCAACCAAAAGTGAAGAAAAGTATTGAAGAAGAAATAAACTCGAAAAATAACAGCAAACCATGCACTTCAAAAAAGCTTGCGAAAAAGTACAGTTTCTATTTTGAGTAATGTTTCTGTTGACTTAAAATCTAAAACCGAACAAACGAGATTACCGAAACAATCAAAAGGATTAAAGATGATTGTGAAACGCGCATTTACATGTTACAGTTGCAATGGTCCTCTCCTCTCGAATTGCATTACTAAATGTATATCTTGTTGTAACCGATTTTGTTTGGCCTGTGCCACGGGAGAAGTCACCAAAGATTATATTTGCGATAATTGCCTTATGTAAGTGATTTGGCAATTTTTCTACTCGAAGAGCTTTACTATGCCCTTATATTTTGTTTTTTATTTTTTATTATGTACACACTACGACTTTAAGATAAGTTTATTTTGTAGACAAATGATTCATGTCTTTTTCATCGAGTCCAAATGATTATTTGTTTTAATGTTTAAGACATCATAAATCTGAGACTGAACATATTACTTTAATAGTCTGAGCTTATTGTGATTTAGAGCTATCTCGTTATCACCAAAAATAGTAGTTTAATGAAGATAATACATGTTTATTAGCAAATAGGTACAAAATATTACAAGTCACATATTGATAGAATTAAGTTTTAGCTTCGATGTATACTAAAAAAAGCAGTTATAATTTATTTTTAATAAAAACTTTGTTACTGAAACATGGATCGAATACATGATTTTATACATCTCCTTTGAAATTGCATGACGGGGCAGTAAATTTTTGAATTAGAATAAATAAATAAAAAATAATATTATCGATCCATGTTTATTTCTACGAGTTACCTAAACGTTTTTTATTCATAAGTTCTAGTTTAAAACTAAAATAATTGATTATATGTAACGATCTCATACTAAATATTTAAAAAGTTTTTTATTTATTTTTTTTGTTTTATATGGGCTTGCTCTTGACCCCAATCTTGCCCTAGAGCAGAGATGGGATCTGCGATGGAGCAAGCTTGCCCAGAAGGCACTGATACTCCCGCACACCGACAGAATACAGCAGAGCTGCTTGGCGCCGGACTCCGGTGGGATGGTGGTCGCGAGCCAGGCGGCCCCTTTCAGGGCCTACCACTGCCTTTGGGATCTTTAACCGCCATCACAAATTGTGTTGACGTTGCCCAGGGTGGACCGCTAGGAGGTAGACCCCACCCACCCCAAAGTGTATCCTAATATTAAGCGGCATGTGAACTCAACCTTACAGGGTCCTGTTCGTTGTTAGCATGTCCTGTTACGAGACTGTACCCTAAGCAAATGTTGCTAAAAATGTTGACTTTATTTGAGAAGGTTTAAAATATGTACACACATTATTTTAGGAAATAACGTAGTTCATCAAAATACTATAAATTAAAATAGTTAAATATCAGAACCGCTAATTTTGTGAATTTTATGAAAAACTTTTGGATACATTTTACACCTTTAGTAACGTACAGGACAGGAAAAGTAGATTAATCTCGTGTATTTCTAAGTTATCAACCTGAAAATACATTTTATAAATAAAAAAATCATGTTTTCTTTAATTCAATAAATAATATTTGCATACAATTTAAGTTTTAACTATACTAATGAACCAAAAACCAGCGGTAACGAACAGGATTAATATTTTAACCTACTTTAAGAAATTTGCAAATTTCTCACAAAATAACCACTTTAGGAGAAAACTTTTACGATTTTCGGAAAAAGGAATTATTGGAGATAATATTAAGTGAAAAATTCAAGGAAATTCTATCAAAAAAATATTAAAGCTCAATTTTGAAGCAGTGTACTACTTTTCGCGTTCTTGCCCTTTTACGCGTTTTATTCAATTCTATGCGCCCGTAAACAGAAACAGAACGGACCTTCATCCTCTTCCCGGGTAACTTTTATTTTATTGTTGTAAAAAGTATACCACGAGATGATACGTGTGAGTAACAAACATTCTGAAGAATTATTCGGATTGATTTCAGCTGCTAAATTTCACAGTCTTAGGTACCTACCTACACTCCGAGAGAACTTGAAGTTCTATCCACATCAACTCGATGATTGAAAGTTAACTATCGTGCGTATTACGAGAAATTTTCTGCAACTCACGACCAGCGTGGAATCTAGGTACTGTCGCTAGGGGTTTTCCGAATCCATACAATTTAGAACCGTCAATAATAGAGTCTAATTATTTCTAAAACATTCGGCGACGCACCTGCAAATCACTTACGATCAGGTGAGCCGCATTCTTGTTTTGTTTCTCTTCTATAAATATAAAAATATAAACATCTTCAGAAACTTTTTCATAATTATCTACACTTCTACATATAAAATCTACACTAATATAGAGGTAAAATGTTTCAGCGTAAGTTATTTTGCAGGTTGTAATATTTTGAAACTGCTGATTCAATTCTGAAAATTGTGCCACGGTTACAAACCGACACTGTTCCCGAAAAGTTAATTGCCGTGCGAGCGATTCACAGATCATTAAATGATCTACGGAGCGGACCCTCGCACCGGTAAACTCAACCTTCACCGTGATTTAGCAAGGATACAGTGTACAGATAAATTTGGAATGTTTTAGTTACGACTTATCTTTAATATTGATAAACATAAAACCGAAACCGTTTTTAACTATAATATATCTAATTATTGTTTATACTGTGTACTGAATGCAGATAGGGTTGGACAATTCCTAGTAGGATAGTAACGGTAAAAACCAAACAGTTCTCAGTCTCTAATTATTGTTTACAGCGTAAAGTGAAATATTTAAAGAGTACCAGTGAGAACATTACGCGGGAAGAATTGAGCCTTGTTGACTCCACTGTTTTCCAACGGTAACTTTTGGTGTTGTAAGTTTTTTTTTTATAGATAAAAACGTTACCTCCACACTAGGATTTTCTCCTGTATCGTGGGGGCAGTTTACAAACATAAATTTCACAAGGACAAACATCCAGACCCGGAACAATCACTTATAGGCCATACAAATACTTGTTCCGTGCGGGATTCGAACCCGCGGCCCTTAGCGCTGTAACTCATTGCTAAGCCACTGCGCCACGGAGCCATCGACAGTTGACATGTGAAGTACAACAAAACACATTAAAGGAGCGTGGCGACCTTTGCCAAACTAAAAACCAACCAAAATGATATATGCTCAGCGGTAGATAGATAACACTTTATTGCACGTTAAAAAAAAACATAAATATTGTTACGAGCTTGAGGTTCGTGACAATAAAAATTGCCGATAGAATTACCAAAATTAACTGTTTAAGGGTACACTAGTCGCTCGTTCTTCCATACAAACGTAGTCTGGCGATAACTCCACTGTTTGATGGTGTAGGTACAAAATAAAAAATGATTTCAATTTGTCTTATCATTATCTAGCCCTGTATGGAAACAAAAAAGTAAAAAAATTGTTTAAAAGTAATAAGCGTCGAAAATTCCGAATTTCCACACTCTTTTTAACACATCTTTGGGCGGAAATAAATACCATAAGAAGAACGAAAATTGCAAAACATTTACCATACAGGGATAGATTAGTTATTCAAAAATGCAAATAATTTTATTTTGAACAGATACATTCAATAGATTTTTCGTGACATCCAGACTACCAAAGGTCTGTTTATAAAATTTCGCGCGCCCGTTTTTGTTATAAAACATCTTGCCTTTCGCTACAAATTGTTTCCCCGATCAGTGGGACGGACGGAGGGGGGGCGCAGCGCGCACTCACACATACTCACTAGGTTAGCCGCTGCTATCTATTTATGGTTGTAATACCTACATATCTACATCTTTATTTAGAATAATTGCTTCCTTTTGTTCGTGTCCACTTGCTGAAGGCTGAAGCCGGGATGAATATAGCTGGTAAAATGTACCCATAAGTTTGTTGAAGCACATGTATGATAGTTAAAATTGAAAACAGGTAGGTACATGATAATGAACTTTCGATACAGGTAGTACATTAGGTACTTAACTACTTTAATTTGCCAACTAACGAAAACATCTCAATTATCGATTGTCGAAATCTTAAAATTATCTATAAATTTTATTAGAATAGGTAATTTTTAGATTTTCGATAATCGTGCTTACGTATAGGAGCCTCATATCCTAATATACCTAATGTAATTTATGTAAATAATCTAAGAACAATAATAATTTTAAAACACTTTAACACAACAAAAACATGAAACTGAGAAGAAACACCCGATCTGCCGAAACAAACTCTGAGAGGTCAGTCCAGTAACCAGCATCTAATATGGTCCTTTGAAGAAAGAACCATACAGAGATTCCGTACCCCAAGGGTAACCAGCAAGGCCCTATTACGGAGCCTCCGCTGTCCGTGTGTCTGTCTGTCTGCGGGCTGCATCTCATGATCCGTAACAGGTAGATGGTTGTAATTTTCACAGAACGTGTATTTTTGTTGCCGCTATAACAACAAATAGTAAAAATAAATTTGAAATTAAAGGGTTTCCTACTAGAAAAAGAAACGTGTATTTTTCGCTTTTTTTGATAGATAGTAATATGTAGTAGCTCGGAAGTCCGATTCGCACTTGGCAAATATTTGTTTATAATATTTAACCTTACCTCAGACATACTCATATTTTTTTACATATAATTTACTATAAGTACTACTATATAACCTACTACTAAATAAAATAGTAGCTTTGGGTTGTAATTAATCACAGAGCGCATAAACCTACCTCAGATATTGGGTTATGAATACAGATTAAGTACATATAGGAGAATAGGATTTAGTTTCTAAGTTGTACATATTTTATAGCCTTCGTTATCAATAGCATAAACAGGCCAAGCCCCCTAGCCTACAAACGTTTCGTAACGAATCTCTTTCTACAATCAGTGATGTCA